TGTACAGTGTTCATTGTACAATACAGTTCAATACTTATTATATATACGTGTACAGTGTTCATTGTACAATACAGTTCAATACTTATTATATATACATGTACAGTGTTCATTGTACAATACAGTTCAATACTTAATATATATACATGTACAGTGTTCATTGTACAATACAGTTCAATACTTAATATATATACGTGTACAGTGTTCATTGTACAATACAGTTCAATACTTATTATATATACATGTACAGTGTTCATTGTACAATACAGTTCAATACTATAAAATTTACGTGTACAGTGTTCATTGTACAAAACTTATTACAATACGTGTATAGTGTTTATTATACTAATACAGTTCAATACTTAATATATATACGTTTAAAGTGATCATTGTACTAATACAGTTCAGAACTTATTACATATATGTGTATAGTGTTTATTGTACAATACAGTTCAATAATTATTACATATACATGTACATTGTTCATTGTACAATACAGTTCAATACTTAATATATATATGTGTACAGTGTTCATTGTACAATACAGTTCAATACTTATTATATATACATGTACAGTGTTCATTGTACAATACAGTTCAATACTTATTATATATACGTGTACAGTGTTCATTGTACAGTACAGTTCAATACCTATTATATATACGTGTACAGCGTTCATTGTACAATACAGTTCAATACTTATTACATATACGTGTATAGTGTTTATTTTACAATACAGTTCAATAATTATTACATATACATGTACAGTGTTCATTGTACAATACAATTCAATACTTATTATATATACGTGTACAGTGTTCATTGTACAAGTACAGTTCAATACTTNTTCATTGTACAATACAGTTCTTTTTATATGCTTTTACATTGCACAGTACCCGATATATTGTGTGCTCCGGATTTTAGGCTTAAAATATATAAAATATTTATTATATGATGAAAAGAATAAAAAATATTTTTTGGAAATTGGGGGAAAGCGTTCATTCATTTTTTCCAAATTTTCATAGAAATTCATCAATATTATTGTAATTGCAGATTTTCCCTTCGAATTTTTTGTTATATCTCATTCAATTTTCGATGAATTTTTATGCAATTTTGGAGCAAATAGAAAGTTTTCAAAAAAAAAATTTGGTTTCGCGGTTTTTTTTTCAATGTTAAAGATAAATATTTTAGAACTTTTATTATCAATTTTTATAATTTTTAAGTCTAAAATACGAAGCAAACACAAATTTTGAAAATGTTATCCATCGATAATCCCGTTTTTTACTCACCCTGTATGTGTACTATGTACAACGTACAGTTCAATACATAAACTCGTACTATGTAGAGCGTAAGGTTCAAAATATAAACTTGACAATTTACAGCGTACAGTTCAAAGTTTATTACATAAGGTTGTACACATAGACACAATACAGATAGAAAACTAGATGTTTTCTTTTCAAGATTTTGGGTTTTTTTGTTCACAATACCCTGAGGCAGAGGCCCAAAGGAGTTACGCGCGTGATCTCGACTGTGTCTTGTAATTCAATGCTGCCTGTGCGAAACTCCTTTTAAATGTGATAATTGGCTAATCGGTCATTAAACGTTTAAAAAGCAGGGTCACTAAAAATTAAATTGACAGTTCTTTAAACTGATTATACGTTTATCATGGAAATAATCTTCAAAAGTTAAACCTTTACTTCAAAATTAGCTTTTATAGAAGCACGGATTTTTATGGTAGCTATGGGTTGTAAACTTATAAATATATTAATCTTTGTAAAAATTTAGAACAAATCTTCGTTTTAATAAATATAGAGATGCTGATGTTTAAATTGTCTATCTATGAGATGTCCTGTCTAAAATGTTCTCTCTTTAATTGTCCTCTCTTTGAATTGTCCTCTCTTTGAATTGTCCTCTCTTAGAAATGTCCTCTCTTTAAGATGTCTCTCTTAGAAATGTTCTCTCTTAGAAATGCTCTCTCTTAGAAATGTCCCGTCTTTGTTATGTCTTCTATAAAATGTCTCATCTATGAAATTCCACTCTATGAAATGTCCTGTCTATAAAATGTCATTTCTATGAAATGTTTTTTTCTAAGAAATGTCCAAAAACCATTAAAATTATAATCTTAATATTAAACTAAACTTCGTTAAAATCCAAAATTCTTTTTCCAGAGTTTAGAATTTTTAACAAAATAAAAAAACATTGTTTCCTAAAGAAAACTTTTCCTTTAAACTTCCTTCTTATTCTTAATAATAGATTAATGTAGGTGATGGGTAGGGGGAGTTGTCAACCATTAACTATAAGACTCCCCCGTCCATCCATGTAATGTCGTCTTTAACTTGAAATCCCCTCTCGGAGACACCAAACCAAACAGTTTTAGCCCCGCTTTTCTTTGTTCTCCGGCAACGGAGTCTAAACACTTTTATTATTGTGAACCATTTCAAAAGTTAAGCAAAGAATATTTTCATATAAAGAATTAGTGACTTTCGTTAACAATTAATTGTCATTATTTTCAGAAGTTTTATTATATAAAAACGTCTTAGCACTCCCCGACGGTTTTAACCTACAGATCCTTAAATAGATCGTAAGAATCTTTTCATTATAAAATTCGTAAACCATTGTAATAATTTATTTATCATTATACATTTCATTTTTTTTAGGAAATAAAGAGTTTTCTGCATTATCGGTTATGATTTGAGGGTTATTCTGTTGTCTATCTGTTCATTATTGAGAATCTTGTTCCTATCCGACAACAATTGTGTTAGACTTTTTTAAAGATCTTAAACTCTTTAAATACAACTATTTTAATATGGTTGCCTGCCTAATTTTCAGTCTTTAGAACGAATTTTTAAAGATTTTGAAAAAAAGTTTACAGCTGTATAGGAGACATGAATGTAAAAAATAAACTTCTCACAGTCTTCTTGGGTGTTTTATTCTTTGTGGGTAACCCTGTATATCTGATTGGTATTCTATTTTTAAGCTGTAATGAATTATACACATTCAATTATTCGTATATTTCAGATTTGTCATGAGACATGAAGTAGATCTGAGATAAGGTTAACAGATTAAACATAAAAGGTCAGATAAAAACTTTTAAAAAGATTCGACCAAATAGAATAGAATATATATTAGATTGGAATTTACTAGAAAAAAAAGTGTAAAACTGCCATTTTGTTGTACTGTTTCCATACTGCAGGTGTACTTCACATACTTGCGCTATATAACCTTTTGGGCCCTGGAACATACTGTATTAATGTACTCTACTGCATATAATTTGTGAACATTTACATGATTTGTACACTTTGAACTCCCTTTCAGGCTGAAAGAGACTGACAAATTCATAACGAGGGAATGTTTAAATTCCTCTCTAATACAAAAGAACCACAATAAGAGAGTTATTAAAGGGACTGTAAGCGTAACTTCAAGTAATCCTCAATGCTAAGGTGGCAAGGACAGATTCATATGTACAGTACAGTACCTTTAAAACCTTTATCTGACCAATAATGAATAAGATATTGTCGTTTTTCTAACATGAAAAATGTCTTATTCTGATCATTTCAATATGCTTTCCCGCAGCGGAAATGCGCAAGCAATTTTAACTAAAGAAACCATAAGTAATAAATCAGTTAATCAAAAATATAAGTATTGGTATATAATTCATACCTGATCAGACAAAGGTGTTTAAGTGTGCCGTTGTGAATTGGCATTGTCATCTTTGCACTTGAAATTACGCTTATAGTCAATTTAACCGGTTTTGCATTTAATAACGGCAAATTAATCATAATCCAATACAATTGGTTACAAAGCAATCAGGCCCTTGCCACACGCTAAATTTTTTAATCCCTTTATATCTGCAAGCTGATGTGTAAACCTTTGATATTTCAAATTTAGATTATTAAATCTGACAGAATTACTCGTTTCAAATATCTAAGATCTTCGACAGTCGACATTGAATTATTTAAGTACGTGAGCTAAAAACTTTAGAGTTGTAGATATTGAGATCAATGATTGGTCCTCTCTTTTTCTTAATCTCGAGACTAACCTAATCTTGTGCTTGTATCCTGAAAAGTGTATAAAATTCAACCAATCAGGGTGGCATAAAAGAAGCCGGAAATTTTGAAATTTTGCGCGCTATTTAACGAGAGAGTCTCATCTCATTAAGATTAATTTTGAAAAAATTGTTTTTGATTTATCTGTACTCCTATTCGCCCTAATCCAATACAGGGGTATCAAAAGGAAAGGATTAAGAAGAAAATCAAAAGTGTGTACATTGGATACTCAGATTAAGCGATCGGGATTAAGGATATCTCATTCTAAAGTTTTCAGCTCAGATTCTTCAACTTACCTTTTATCAGGATCCAGTAAAAGTTGGAGTCTTTATAATGGTTCCGGCAAAGACAAGGTGAGAAAGAAAGACCAAAAAATGAATATGATGATTTTTAACATTAAAAAGAGAGAAGGTGAAGGGGTGGAGGAGGTTGTTTGGATGGTTAGAAGGGTTTAAAGGTTAAAGGATGGGGAAATCTTTGAACCGTAGAATGGTCTAATCTCTACAGAGGATAAGAAGAAAAGCCATTTGCTCTTTAACCAGTTTAACATGGGGGAAATGAGCCCCAGGAGAGGGGATTATGGGGGGAAGTTTAAAAGGATAAGGGGGAGGATAAAGAGGGGGAGTGGAAGGGGGGGAGGGAGGGTAATAGTTCCGATTACTGATAAGACATAAAGACCATCCCTCTGACTGGGAGGTAAAAGAGAACTAAAGAAAATCATTTTATCCATTAGAGGACAATTTATCTATCCATTCATTCATTCATTCATTAATTCATCCTTTTATTGTTAATTCATCGTCTTTTAATTCATTAATTCATCCTTTTCATTGTTAATTCATCCTCTTCAAATAAATTCATCCTCTTTTAATTCATTCATTAATTCATCCTTTTATTGTTAATTCATCCTCTTCAAATTAATTCATCCTCTTCAAATAAATTCATTCATTCATCCTTTTATTGTTAATTCATCCATCCACCTAAATCCTTTTCTCAACTGCATTTTAGTTTTTCACTTAAAAATATTTTAAAGTGAAAAAATATTTTCAAATGTATCATTTTCATGACAGTAATGAGAAGAAGAAAAAATAATGATAATTATAATATAAATGATCAGGATCAAAGACATTTTGTTATGATATTACATGCATGTATTAAATATCTATTTGTAATAAATATCGTGTAAATTTGTCCAATTAAAAATTATTCTTTTATTCTAATTGTCATTTAAAATTACCATGAGAAAATTGAAACATTATTATTATTATTATTGTTAATAATGGAAAATAATGAAATTTATTTTGTTTTTAAACTAATAGATTCTCCTTACAATATTTCAAATTTGTTTAATGAACATTTTTAAACAAATTTTAAAAACTTTCCAAAAAATGTTTTTTTTTAGTAAAACGAGGTTTAGCGGGCCCTCTCATTCTGTTTATAAAGGACTAGAAACTTCATGGGGTAAAATTCACTCATTCATTCATTTATTCATTTTTTTATTCATTCATTCATTCTTTCATTTTATTTATTTATTCATTTATTCATTAATTCATTTATTCATGAATTAATTTATTCATTAATTCATTTATTCATTAATTAATTTATCCATTTATTCATTTATTTGTTTATTCATTTAAGCATTTATTCATTTAAGCGTTTATTCATTTATGCATTTATTCATTTATTCATTTATTCATCTATTCATTTATTCTTTTATTCATTTTTTCGTTTATTCATTCTTTCATTTATTCTTTTATTCACCTATTTATTTATTCATTTATTCATTTATTCATCCTTATATTCATCCTTTCATTCATTCATTCTTTTATTTATTTGATAAAGAAAATCATCTAACTTTAGACATGCAATCATCATGGACAATCTGCTGACAATACAACCACGTGAAACAATACTCACCAGTCAACAAGACAATCAGCACAATCAGCTAACTAGACAATCACTTGACAAGACAATCAGCTAACTAGTCAATCAGCTGACAAGACAATCAGCTAACTAGACAGTCAGCTGCCAAGACAATCGCTTGACAAGACAAACAGTAAATCAGCTAGCAAGACTATCAGTTGACAATAAAAATCAGCTGACAAGACAAGCAGCTGACAATAAAAATCAGCTGACAAGACAAGCAGCTGACAATAAAAATCAGCTGACAAGACAAGCAGCTGACAAGAAAAATCAGCTGACAAGACAATTACGTGAAAAGATCATTTTCCCGCCTTTTTCGACTCACTTTATTCTCCTTCTGGGAAATCAATTTTTACAAAATATTATATTTATTATTTTATAATATTAACATGAAAGATCTAAAATAAATAAGCTACAATATGTTACAGAAATATTCCGCGCTGACAATATTACATTATTCAAGTCCTGAGCAATATAGTTCCAGGTCATTTCCCTTCTCCTCCTTCTCCTTCCTTCTCCTTCTTCTCCTCCTTTTCCTTCTTCTCCTCCTTCTCCTCCTTCTCCTCCTTCTCTTCCTTCTCCTCCTTCTCCTCCTTCTCCTCCTTCTCCTCCTTATTTGCACCATGTTTTGAGTGAGCATGCTCTTGTTTTGAAAGTAAGAACTCCAAAAAGAACAAGAAGAAGCACTAATCCAATAGGTAAAAGAACAATCCTAAAAAAATCGATTTCAAAGATTTCAAAATTATTCTTACAAACATTGTTTTTATGAAAACTGAAAACGTAAAGTTTTTAAAATGAAAACATCTTTTTCAAATATCCCTGCAGCCCTATTTTCATCACAATGGATGAATTTAAGACGTTTAATCAGGCTTTTTTCCTCAAGATCTAATTCTAATTTAACTTCGACAATATTTGGATTTAAAGAATATTATTTTATCCAGATGAAAATCTCTGATCATATATTGACTTTACTACTTTAACATTTGGCGGAATATAAGACCCATATCTTGTATTTATGATCATAACATTAGGTTAATAATGATTTTGCCATGCGTTAGGGATATCTAATAGTGTAATAGGGATATCTACCAATGCGTGGGGATACGTAGTAATGTGTAATTGATGTATAACAGAGTGTTAGGGCTATATAACAGTGCATAAGAGATATCTAACTGTGTGTTCATGGGAAATCTAACATTCCGTAAGGGATACCTAAAAGTGGGTTATGGTTGTATTTCAGTGTAAATTATGGATATCTAACAGTGTATTAGGGATAATAAAAGTTTTTTGGAGATATCTACCAATGTGTTATGGATGCATGACAGAGTGTTAATGATACATAATGATATAGGGGTAGAGCTAACCTGAGTGGTTCGTCAATAGCTCTCTCTGCCTTGATCTTATCCTGCTTTTCTTCAAGAGTTAATTCTCTATCTAAATAAACGAAATGATAATTCTTCTCTTCTTTGTCTCCAAAAAACTGAAAAACTAAAATTTAGTTTGTAAAACAAAGTTAGGAATAGATTGTCAGGAAGTTAGAAATCTGTAAGAAATTCTGAACATTCTGTTTATTAGTTTGAAATCGGTTGGCATTGTTTAAAGCCGTAGCACACTCATGTACTCATGTTACGCCTGCAGTACACCAACTATAGTAGGCAAGGCTAGCTGTTGCTACTAGGTTGACGCGGTCTGACTTAAGGCTGCATTTGGTTAAATTTACCATTTCTACAATGGAAATTTTGCCTGGTTGCTTGAATAATCTTACCTTCATCAACAAGAGCTGATGCTGTCACTTCCTCTTCTGGTTCCGGTTCAAGGCTACGCAGTTCAAGTACATGATGCTGAAAGGCAAATTGTTCATAATTTTGACAGGGGTTATTTTTAAAAATTTCTATCAAATTTTCTATAAAATAGTAAAGCTTAGTTATTTAGTCACAACGCGTGCGCCCATAGAAATAGCCATCTTTTTGTTTATGATTTCAGTATATTTGGGTACTTCATTACTATGAAGCAAGGGCTATAAATGTTGTTGTTTTTTTGAAGTTTTCTAAGTTATAGAAATCAAAGCAATTTTTCATACTTTGATCCTTAAACTTTTTTTAAAACGGTTTTTCTTTGTAGAAAACCAGTGAACACTAATCAAAAATCGGTTTTTAGGAACATCACAATATAACGTAGCATGTATGTATATATTCTGGTAGCCATGGAACAGCTGATCAAAAACCGGTTTTTAGAAATATAACATACCGTATATATTCTCTTTTGGTATCCTGCGAACAGCTCATCAAATACTCCTCTGGTCTCATTCAGCTTCTCATAACGGGCACACACTTCTTCCATAGCAGATATGAACCTATCAAATAATGACATCAAAATATTGTATAGTTTTATTAGAACATCATTGTAGAAAACCCAACAAAAAGTTAGATAAATCAAACAAAAAGTTAGATTAATCAAACAAAAAGTTAGATAAATCAAACAAAAAGTTAGATAAATCAAGCATAAAGTTAGATAAATCAAACATAAAATCTTTGGTCTGTGGCCAAATTTAAAGAATTTGAGCGGCGGTTTAAATTTAAGCCGCGGCTCAAATATGGTTTATTATTCCACTTAAAATTGTATTAAATGTTTCAAGATTTAAGCCGGCGCTTAATTTAAACCGGGTTTTGGCAGATTTAAACCGCGGCTCAAATTCTATAAATTCCATCTCTTGTTAAATTTTTTAATAGTTAGTTGTCAAAGATTTCTTTCACTTTTAACTTTATTAAAGTTTAGCAATATAGCAGCAATGCTTAAATTTAGATTAGGAAAGTCTGAAGAACGACAGACATGTTCAAGCAGAGCTCAATATAGAGAGAAAGTTTAGTTTCAAGGTAAAGCTAGGTTTCCAAGCTTGTAAATTATAAATAAATGACGATTTGATTTCGGGTCCCGTAGTTTTCTGTCTTCATGGGTTCCCTTAAAAAATGTCAGACAATTTGGTCCAGCCGTTTGAGGTTCTTTATTACGAAATAAAAAATTGTATTTTTTCTAAAAATACTTTTGATCAAGGAATAAAATTACGAAGCAAACTTCGGTCGGAAAATAAGTTTTAAAAGTTGAAATAAAAACCACAAAAGAAATCATGTATTGTCCTGTTTTCTTTATTTCCAGATTTCGTAAAAGTTATTTAAGACCCACAAATATCACCCCGCTAGACAATGATACAGGGTGTCCCAAAAAACAAAGCTTTATTAAATGTCTTTTACATAAAAATATTATTGAATTGAAATATTTTTTGACATGATAATCTTAATTTTTTCTTTTATTGTATTTGAATGATTTAGACGCAATTTCACTTGATTCTTAATTCATAGAATGTCATGTCAGATTGTCAAAGGTACCCTTTAGTGACTTAAGATGACCTGCACATTTATGCTGCAGAAAAATGGAGATATTGTCAGAATTAAACAAGTTAAGAGTAAAAAACCGAAATTATCTCCCTCATTGCTACTTAGTTGTAAGGGGTAATGTTGTGAATCCAAAATGTCACTTTTTAAAAGGAGATCAACCTTAAATTTTGCCATCTGTCTCTTTAGAAAAGAACTTTGCGTGTAATTTTATATATGTAAGATTAGAATTATTTGAATCAAGATTTAAATAAATATATTTTAATATTTGCATACATTGTACACACATTGTAAACTGTAAATATAACTTTACATATCTTCCCCATAAACTGTGTAAAGGAATGTAGAATGGTATACAGGGCTACCCGCTCAGAATGAGGCTTTAATGACGACCATCGACTATTTAAAATATTTTTGTGGAAACCCTACAGCTGTTAAATTGTGACGTTATAAAAATCTGTAAGAGAAATGTCGTTTTTTTTCTCCCCTTAATTTTTAGAAAATTCTGCTGCAGGATTTTTAAATCAAATTTGAGATTGTGGCAACAAATATTTAAAGGAAAAAATTAGTTTTAGATAATGAAACGAAAGCGACATTTGATAATTAATAAAAAAAAGAAGACCGCAAAATTATTCCACTAAATTTTTTGTTTTTACAAACAAAATTCCGCCAACAAAACGAAAAGTACCTTTCTGGGTTGTCGCTATGAGGTCGCCTAAAAGTGAGATTGAACTTTCCTAAAAAAAACACTTTTTTTTTAAAGATTTTTTTTCTTCTAATAATGGAAAAAGAATTTGTTACTCAAATATATTGTTTCTTAAAAGGGAGTGTTTACGGAAAAAAAGGAGAAAATTGTTTAAAACGACTTATACTGAAGAACGTAGCGTTCATACAAATTCAGAGAGTTGCAATATACGACTGGGATCGTAAAAAATCAATTTAATTTCAAAAAAATCATTGAGATATTACAACCTATAGTCATCGATCATTTTTCGACGCAATAGGATATAGTTAATATTTCATAATATTTATTGTTTGTTTTATATACATTTGCACTTAAAACGACGTTTTTTTCCGCCATATGTAATCATTCAAAGCATCAAGAGCAGAGACACCTGACGGCCAACTATTTCGGCGTTTAAAGTGGTAAAGTGGATTGTATACAAAGCAAATGAAAAATAATATGAAATATTTAATAAATATAAATGCATCGAAAATTAAATTAATAACATATTAAAGGAAAAAGAAAACACACGATTTTTTTAACAATAAATGCATGAATAAATGTTTAAAGTTTTGTTAAAAATCTCTTGTAGAAAAATAAGACGACATTTACCTGAGATGAAACCGCCGGGATCAGATTTCACAAAATCGACGAAATTAACTTCCGGTTTTACTTCCGCTGCAATCCACGAGTTCTTGACTAGAAAAAAAGTCAACATATGAAAGTGACTGTACACATAATGATCGTTCTAATAAAACTACATTTAAGCATGTGTATTTGATGTTGTTATGACGGTAGCAAGACGACTTAAAAGTCTTCTTTGAACTTTCATTTATTTGTGACATTCAGTCGTTAACCTACTTTCACATTTATGATTCTTGAAATATAAATAACCACAAAATTCTCCTTGTATTACTGGAAATATTAAGAATTTCGTTCAGATTTAAATTGTATCAATTAAAATTTTTAAAAACCAAAATTGTCGAGACCTGAAATAAATTCTTCATATCTCGGGTAATATTAAAAGCACAAAAAATTCAGACCACATTTTGGACCTGAAGACCATGGATATTTTGTGATTATTAACTTTAGAATTTTACTTCTAAAATTAAGTTTAGTGAAAAAATTCCGCAAATTATTTCAAATATCAAAGACGACCTTTATTTATTCTTACTACTATCACGTTCCTGGGACACCCTGTAAATCCACCAATTGTATGAAAATCAACTTATCAATAAAAATGAGTTTGGATTTGTGCTGATGCCTGTTTATTTACCTAAAAGTGGAATCTCATTCATGATAGACCGTTGCCAGAGTTTATACAAAGGAGTTCTAAAAAGTATTTATAAATATCAAGATTTGACAATTTCTTAAAACTCAACGCAGGTTCAGTTTTGACAAATCAAAATAGAAAAAAAACACAATATTTTCTCCTAGCACACCTAGTAACCTGGTATCCTGGCAAATATCAATTTGTGTTTCAATCTGGTTTTATAAATTAAAAACTAAAGTTTTTGCTGCAATCGGGTTTAAAAATAAAGTTTAAGTTCAATAGCTGTTTTTAGACTAAAGTTTCAGCCAGTATTAGGCTCAAGTTTCAGCTTAATATTTAATTTCAAAATAGAATTTTTGCTGAATGTTTTGTTTTAAAAATAGAGTTTTTGCTGAACAATTGGTTTAAAACTTTGATTTCAAATGAATATTTGGGTTAAAAATAAACTTTTAGCTGAATTTTAATATCTGGTTTAATTTCAGATGAAATCGGGGGTTAAACTAAAGTTTTTTTCTGCATCTCTGAGGGTTCACTAAAATGTTTGTAAAAAGATTTCCATTAAACAATAAATTCCGTCAAATTTTTATTCCTTGTCTTTAATGCTTAAATCTATAATTCACTTCAATGGAGAAACTGCAATTTAAAATTATCAATTTTTGTTTTTAAAACAATAATATCTCCGCAAGGTTTGCTTTCTAAAGTTTCTAAGGGTACCTTGTAACTTTATTAAACGAGGTTTACTTGAAATACTTTAATTTAAAAATAATGAAATTAAGGACGTGAATTGATGTTGGTTTAATGAATATAGACAAGGGTATATTGTCAAACAATTAAAAAGTTTAGAGCCAAGTCTGCCAAGTCTAGAGCTAACTGGTGTTCCTGTCCAGGGCGTATACAGAGGGGGCAAGGGGGCGTAGCCCCCTCCCCTAGAACTCAGAGCTTTCACACTTTTCAAATTTTAAACTGAAGAGTGAAGAACATAAAAAATAGTTTGCTGTTCATTCAGTGCAATTAGAAGATTGTATTAGTGGACCAGAGCCTGCATGACAGAAGTCCGAATGAAAATCTATTTAGAATGCACATTCTGGCATGATTGGCTTGGCTTGAGTTTGGAGGTAGTAAAAGACCAATTTTTTAGTTTTTTTATTTAGATTTAATTTACTTTATTTATTGCACCGCCGTTTCTTTTTATTACAAACTAGCTGAAGTGCCAGGCGTTGCCCGTGGAATTTTAAAAATCGAATTAAGACAAAAAACTTTAAATTTTTTTAGCTTTTGTCATCCGCAAGGGTATCCATGAGTTTCCATTCTGAAATTCAGGCCATTTGATTCAGCCGTTTGGCCAGACATAGCAAACATATAAACAAACGAAGAGCTTTATGACATAAAATTAAAATTAAAGGAGAGATAAAGTATAGTGCATGCTTGGTAATTGGACGGTATGTGTACCTTTAAAGTATCTTATACTTGTTGCACTTCGCGCAAATTTCGCCCCCCCCTAGAATTATTTCTGTATACGCCCTTGGTTCCTGTCTAGGGATTAGCATCGTTTTCTTTAACGAACAACATTTTTCGTGAAAAGGAGTCCTTCAGAAAAAAACAAATGATGGACGAACGAAGTTGATCGTTCAGAGCAATATAAAATTATCGTTTTTTTAACCAACGAAAAAAAAAGATTTAAAATCATGCAAACAAACTTGTAACAAAAAAAATCGATTTTATTCAACAAACAATTTAAGGAACGAAAGATTTTAATGAGTGATCGTTCAGTGAGAAAGTGAACGAAAATGGAAAATGGTCGAGAATTTTGAGAACGAAAAAAGTCAAGTTTTTTTATTTATTAAAAAACGAACAAAATGGGTTGTCCACGAACGATGAACGAACGCAATGAAAAAAGTGGAACGTTCCCATCTCTATTCCTGTTATCTTAAGACTGTGGCTGTAATTTCAAGAAGAACATGTCTGCAGATACATCAACAACATTAAAACATTTTTATGATAAACAAGGTTGTGAATCGTACGTAATGCATGAACCTATATAAATGAAGGTACACTAGGGTTAGGGTTTCCATTTTTGAAAAACTTTGCGCAATTTTTGTGAAATAACGCAAAATATTTATTTCTTTGCTTAAGAATTTTGCGCTAAAAAAGAACAGAAATTGGCGTAATCATTCGCAAATGTCATTTCACGGAAAATTACACTTTTACGCAACTCCTGTTTGAAATGATTAAAATGGCTGACACCACTGTAACCTTAATCTGATGAAAAATTTTGAAGATGTACAGTCATTTTCTTGATTCGAAAAGTGTTTAATTCTGTTAATTTCTTCGTCGCTTCTTTTCAGCAAAAATATGCAAGTTAATTTAGTAGAGAACCCGGAAATGAAAGTAACTAGTTTACAGAAACAAAAAAAAATCGAATTCATACTTATCAGACACAGCTTTTAAGGGTACTGTTGTAAATCGAACATTGCCATCTTTGCATAACTTTTTGCGTTTTGTGTGCAAAAGTTCTCAAACGAAAAAATTTACGCAAATCTCTAATGCTCCCTACCTGTCGCTCTCTAGTGCTCCATCCCAAGCTGTTTCACTGATCGCATAGTAGGTATACATATCTCCTGGATAATAGTTCCCCTATACTCACATAGGAAAAATTAAATTAAAAAACTGTCTGTTTTTATCCAAAAAACAACGTCAAAACGACTTGAACCAATTGGGCCAAATATTTTTTGCAAGAGCTTCCATGACCCTAGGAAAGGTTTATATGACCGTACAGAGTTTTTAATTTTGTGCCATTTTTAATCTTCTGGTGTACTAAGAAGAAATGGTGGCATAGGAAGCAATTTTTTAAAGCTAAACTTGCAACTTAAATATTGGGCACTTAAAAAAATACTAATAAAATAGAAAAGAATTTTCAAAATGTAAATTATTTACAGAATTTTAATTTTCCTTAGAAGTGTCACCAGGAGTATGAAAACTATTGTTTAAAGCTTCAGATGCATTGCCACAATTGCAGTATTCAAGGTCAAGCTAAAATACAACACATAATTAGGAGGGCTCTTCAATAATTTGAAAATATATATTAAAGGGACTGTAAACGTAATTTCAAGTGACCTTAAATTTAAAGGGAGTGTTCGCGAAAATTTAAAGGAGGTATAGGCTTACGTCGAAAAATTAGCTTCTAATCTTACTTCTATCTGTTGCGTCTATAAGGAGAAATTTGTTGAAAACGACTCATACCAAAGAACGTAGCGTCCATACAAATTCAGAAAGTTGCAACATTTTACTCGGATCATAAAAAAATTAACTTAATTCCAAACAAATCATTCAGATATTACAACTTATACTCTTCGATAATTATTCGACACATTCCTATATAGCTGATATTTCATGTTATGTTTTACTTGTTTAATATACGATTTACTTTAAACAACGATTTTTTTAGTTTCAAGGAGTGGAGTCTCTTCCACATGGAACTCAAGAAGCATCGAGAGCAGAGACACCTAGCGGCCAAATAAGGCTATAATGTATATGAAACAAGAAGAAAATGATATGAAATATCAACTATATATATATGAATGCGTCAAAAAATTATCAATGATTATATCATTATTATTATCAAAAGGTTGTATTTGTAATATCGGAATGATTTGTTTGGAATTAAACTGATTTTTTGTGTATTTAATACACTGAATTTCTATCCATATCTACTCTGTGCAGACAATATACTTTCTAGTTTTGAAAGTAACAAATCAGCTGCTTGAGTTCAGAATGTATGTACTATGTAGCATGATATCATGTTTTAGAAGAATTCAGCGGGTTCTGTAATGTTTAAACGGAAATATTTCTCAATTTGATGAATAGTCACTGTTTTAAGGGTACCGTATTGTCCGCTTTTTATGGAGGTCACTTGAAATATTGTTTACAGTTCCTTTAAACTGTGATTTTTCTTTTAAAACAAAGGACAACAATCTTTTTAAACTTACAGTCCAACTCCATGCAACAGCCTTCTTAATAAGAACACCAAATACTATCTCTGGATCACAAATATTCTGGATTTCTCGTTTTACCCTGAAATGACAAGTTTAAGCTTTAAACCCTGGTTTTTGACCATGAGATTTTGGCTATAGAGTTTCCATTATTTGAAAAAAAATGTCCATTCCGTAAAATGGAAAAAATCTTTAAATAATGAAAATGGGGAAAAATACTGGATCAGTTTCAAGTGCACTCTGTGAATGGGAGTTATGGTTGGAACCCTTATTTTTGCTTAGGGGGTTAAAAACTAGTTTGAAGGAATTCATTATGGAAGAATTTTGTTTCCCATATTATAGTACCTTATTTCTCTTCTTCGTCGTCCTAAGCTTGGTGCTGCAGTGGAAGAACTAGAAGGAGCTGCTGTAGTAGTTGATGGCTCAATGCAAGAAGATATGTTCAATAAATGAGCCCAAGGATCTATAAAAGACATTTTTAGATTATTGTTTAAAAGAAATTCTGCCTTTTCTTACCTGTCACAGGAGCAGGAGTGGTAACAGAAGATGATGTGGCAGCTGTTGATACACTTCCAGCAGTAGTTGATCCAGTTGCATTAGTTATTGATAAGTTTGAAGCAACAGTAGTTGGTGGAGGCAAAGTAGGACACATAGGTCTATCAACCTTCAGTTGGTTGTCAATACCATCAAGAAATATTTTCTGATCTTTCATCAGAGTTTGCAGTGTTGTTTTGAGACCTTCAAGTGTAGCATCTCCCATGCAGCCTCCTACTTGTACATTCAAACTTAGAATTGTATTGATTCTTTGCTCATTTGCTTTAATATTTCTAACAAATTTATTTTCTGTGTTGGAAGCATCAATTAAAGCTTGGGCAAGAGTTGCCAGATCAGCACATTGAGTAGATGCTGTTGGTGTTGATCCAGGAGGTGAATAAACAGAGTTCTGAACTTTTCTTAGAACACATCCAATATCTTTTCGAAACTCCACATGATCACCAAGATCAGAAGAATACATATCTCCAGTGCCAGTATTAACATCAAACTTTTCTGCTTTCTTGTCGGCTGCTGGATCTTCAGAAGTCGGACATCCAGCAAACATCCAGTGAAGATCTATAGTAACATTATTAATAGTTCTGCGGGCATAGACTGGGCAGTCCTTAAAATTTTCTTTTTGATAGGGATCTGGCAACAAGTTTCTTCTATCTTGGAGACATTTATCCATTCGGCAAACACATTTGTTCAGAAAGTTAGCATATTTGTTTATGGTTGGTTTGGAACAAAAAGGATCCTCTGTTGTGGTAGTTGTAGTTGTGGTAGTGGTAGTTGTTATCAGTGTGCACTTTTGCCACACGGGAGGTGGGTTAAATTTACCAGTGTTTAAACATTTCACCCTTAAAAATGTTCTAGGCATTCCAAATGTTGGATCCTTGCATTTAAAGACCATGAAATCATTTTCAAGGTAAATAATCCCAAAGGGAACATTTGGATTGGGAAGTTCTCTCTTCTTTCTTGCCAGGACTGTTGTTGTAGCAGAAGCATCAATAGCTGAAGCTGCTATTGTAGAAGTTTCTGTGTTAGGATCAAGTGTAGTAGCTACAGTAGTTGCAGCTTTAGTGGTACTTGGGGCAAGTGTGGTGACAGGAGTAGTTGTTGTTCGAAACTTTGCTACCATTTCATCATGTGTAAGACATTCTGAGTTAACAAAACTGCAAGGAACATATTGCCCTTGGAATTCTGCAGGAACTGTTGGATTGCTTGCAGAGGGTTCACAAATTGCCAAACATTTTGGCCAAGTTTTCAGCTTTTGAAATCCTTTATCAGTGCAAGTAATGGTTATGGATGTATTTCCATCCATCATCAATGAGTTTGGAGGACATGCATAGGTTACATTCATGTTTTCATAAACTTTCATAGTTTGTTCATCTCCCACCAAGGACAGTCCTCCTAATGTTGGGCTAATCACAGGCCAGTCTTCACACTGATTTATACAAGTCGGCCAAGATGTTATCTCCTTAACTGATAGAATAGGCTGGATAGGACCAGAAGTTGTTGGAGCAACAGTAGTACCGTTGGTGTTATTTGAAACTGGTGCTGTTGTTGGAGGTACATAGGTTGGACATTTTGATTCAATCACGTTTCCTGTTCCATCCTTGAAAATTGCTTTTGGGTTTCTGCACGTGTAGTACAATGATGATCCTGCAAGAACATTTGCCCTGATGGTGGTGTCATCTACAACAACTGACTGTGTTGGAATTTTAATCATGCTTTCTTCTGGTGGGTTAGGAAATTCAGTACACATTGGAGGGGTCTATTAACAAAAAACAAAAAAAATTATAAAATATTAAATTAATTAAAAAGAAACAATATTTTTAAATTAATAATATGATTTAAATACCAAACAATCGATGGCTTTTGGCCATACAGGTTTATCAAAAACAGCATTTGGTCCACAAACTACTGCAAACTTTCCATTGCCATCTGGATCCAAGTAGGGACTTGAACTATCAAAGACCTGAATATTTCCTAGTTGTCAACATTTTTTAAAATGTAAGATTGTTGACTTTAAAAGTCACTATAATAAAATAAAGAGATCCAAATGGATGTTTCTAACATTTATTTAAAAAAACGAAAGTTTTAAAATATTTGCATATAAGGCAGAGTTAAAAATGGTTGATTTAGAAATTAACAAAGGAATTAATGATGGATATTTGATGGCAATTCATGGGAGTGTTGTAGAGCTTCATGTTGGTGGAGCAAATCAACAGGAACTGGGACAACAGGGCTTATCAATGGAACTAAGGCAATGCAACTCGAGATAGTGGAAACTTCGGTCGGAGCCGGGCACAAGTTTCCTAAGTAAGCTTCTCAAGAAGTTAATAGGGAGATCAGAGGTATAAGCACGCCTGCTGTTAGCTCAGTATCTGCATCATCAGCATAAAGGAGTCAAGAGGCTCCCTGTGTCGGAGCTGTTACCAGCTCAACTCTCCTAACCTGACTGAGGGCTGGGCTGTGTAGAGGGTGAGGCAGGGAATGAAGGAGCGAGGGTTACATGTATGTGCTTCATGGCGGAAATGGATCATGTGTATACACACATCTTGAGAAAAGTTGACGGCAATTGAGTCGGTAAAATCGTCTTCCTTATATTTCAAATTTGTGTTAACAAAGATACTTCTGCCATTCTTTAAAGGTCAAGGATCCCACCTCCCCCACCCCTCTTGAGCCAATTCAACCTTTACCTGTGTTGGTCCTGCACAAATATACTCTGCAGGCCACCCAACAGGAACCAATGGGGTTGTTGTTGTAAGTTGCAGGTGTGCTGGTGGCTTATAAACCAGAATTGAGGAAACATTGCAGTAGGCAGCTGAAAAATATGATTAAAAAACTGTCTTAATAATTTTAAGTGACCTTCATTTAAAAAAGGAGCATACCTTCTTCTCAAAAGTGTTCTTTAACCTTTCCGATGCAAGTAATGCACAAGAAAATTCCCTTTAAGTTTCTTCTATTCTATAATAATCAATGCTACCTTCTCCTTTTACAGCAGTGTATCCAATATCAGCTAATGTTGTGGTGGTATTAGGTGCAGGAGCAAAGGCATCCAGGGACGATACTTTTGAAGTATTTGAAACAATCTGTTAAAAGAAACATTTTTTGTTGTGATTTTTAAAGATTGCAGAAGACTTACTAGAAATTCCGTATCAAAAGCAGCAGTAACACTCCTCTTTTTCCTGCCAGGTGCTACAGTAGGTGTACCAACATCTGGTAGATCTGTTGAGGGGAATGCATAGAGGGCATAAACACCTCCAAACAGAGGCATTTTGCTGTACACAAAACTTAACTACAAACAAATTTATTAAAAATGCTCAGTTTTAATTTAATATTTGTTTTTACATTTGTTTCAACGTTCTCCTTTGCAGTCTGAAAGGCTGAAGATCTAATGTTTGCTAGATCATCACTCCATGGAATGTTTGTGACAAACTTCTTTCTAAATCTAGTTGTGGTATTTGTACAAGTGCAAAGTTTTCCAGCTCCTACAAAATAAATAATTTTGATTTTACTTCCTAAAATTTTTAAATATCAATTTTATTGCACTAAAAGATTATACCAATAAAGAAGTACTGAGTAATGTTACCTGTTATTGCATTTGAAACTTTAATTCCATCCAAAGTTGCTGGTGCCATTTCCAAGCTCAAAGTTGGAGATACTTTCGGAGGAGGGGCTAAAAACATATCAAAATCAAATTAACCAAAAGAACAAGCATTATTCATACAATGTCTCTCTGAAAAAGTAGTTGGTATCAGAGAACCTTAGTTTATTTGATTATTTGATTATTCTTTTAAATATATTATTGGCCTGAATTTATTGAAGTTTAAAGTCTAGTATGTTTTTCCCCAATGATTGTTTGGACATCAAAAATTTTTATTTGGAGAAAAGTAATTCAAAATGCATTGAATTATAACCTGTAGTTGGTCCTAAAGTTGTAGATGCTGTTGTGGCAGTTTCTGTTGCTTGTCGTTTCCGTCTAGCCAATGTTGTGGCAGCTTTGAAAAAAATAGAAGTAATACTCGTACAATGTTATAAGGCACAATATAAAAAGTGAAATGTTTATTTTCTAATATTACCTGTAGTATTGGCTGCACCAGCAACTGTAGTGTCAGTTGCACTAGCAACTGTTATTCCAGTTGCACCAGAAACTATAGTTCCAGTTGCACTTGCAACTGTTGTTCCAGTTTCACCAGCAACTGTAATTCCAGTTGCACCAGTAATTGTAGTTCCAGTAGCACCAGCAATCGTAGTACCAGTTGCACTTGCAACTGTAGATCCATTTGCACCAGCAACGGTTGAAGTCAAGGGAGGCTTTCAAATAGAAAAATTGGTTATTTGCAATAATTTCTATGATTTAGCCAAAGATACTTTTACATAAATCAAACTGTAAACAATATCAGTTAACCAAAGATACTATACCTGAGTCGCTTGAGTTGTAATGCCAAGGATACCTTGTTGGGCAGCAATATTTTCAACATTTTTAGCATTTACCTAAGAAAAACTGATGAAGTACATAAACTAAACATAACTGAAGTTGGAAGATTTTTGCTTCAGCAAGGATTTAAATTTGTTTTATCATATATCTGGAGCTTGATGAATGAAAGAATTTTTACAAATAAGAATGTGCAGAGATTGGAAGTTTGGTGTGGAGTTTGTTAATCTTTAACACTGGATCACAGCATCCAAATGGGCCATTTTTAGATTGAGGATAAATGCTTGATCTCACAATTGAATTTATCCATGCAGGGTATGATTATCATTAAATATTAAAGAGGAATTAAAATCGCCTGTATGTCTGAATAAGATCAATGCTTAATCTTGATATTTGCAACTCTTCTGACATCTGAGATCTGTACTTTTGTGTTGTGAATCTCAGAATCAAGCATTGATCTACCAATTAACTTAATTCCTCCTAATTATCTTGTGGTAATCCTACCTTTCAGGAATAACTGAAATGTAGAGATCAAGGATTGATCCTTAAATTAACAGTGCCATATTGGATATCAAGATCAAGTTTTCAAGAATATCAATATCAACACAAAAGTCCTGACTTCATATAATCAGTAGATTAATTATTGTATCCTAAAGATGCAGGGTACAGTTTGATCTCATATAACTTTGATTGTAAATTCTTCAATTCAAAAGATTGCTTTGGTTTTATTTAGACAATTTTGATTACAGAATGATTATATTAAACCTGTTCTTTGGTAAGAGCAAGAAGATCAGCTTCATTTAATTCAGGGAACATAATCTTTAGAACATCTATGGGAGGTAGTCCAGTTGGAGTCTTTACTGATAAATCAAAATTTAAGTTTAGTTCTGTCTTTAGAAGTGTTAAAATTATTTGTCCCTTTTCCTGTTTCCAGTCAATCAAATCACAAAACTAAGATTTTCAATTTCTTCCAGATCAATTTTGGATTGGTAAGCGTTCCTGAAGCTGTTAAGAATTATAAACAATTCAAAACTTTTAAGAGAAAGGGGGGGAACCTTTTTCGATGCTCAAATAAATGTATCCCTAAGATGCTATACAGAGCCAGCTGTGTGACATGTTGAAAACGTTTACATCAAGATTTATTCTTAACTTGGTTAAAAATGGTTCCACATTTAATTTATCAATGTTTATAAAGGTTTATCATTCTAAATAATCAAGAAATTGGAAACATAAGACCACATGTTTCCATAACTGTACATTACATTACAATCAAGCATGATTTAAAAACCGGTTTGCTACCTGGTTTTATCAGATTGGTGCGTTCTATCTGTGTTCTCAAAATGGCGGTCTGGTTTTGCAGATTTTCATCAAGCTCTGGGTCCCCAGGGCAATAGCATTTATTTTTGATATACCCCAGGCCGAAATTTAATCCTGGGAAATATAATCGTTTCCACATTATATTTTTATTAATTCATTTATACAGTGAGAACCAGAAAACAATAGATTAAGGAGTTGATGCATCCTTTATTATGATTATTGGGTCTGTTAAAATTGCACAGTCGTCTTTCTATTCCAGAGTTTTCTGGTTCTCATTGTATTTTTATGAGGTAATTATATCATAAAAGTATAGGTTTCATTAAAATATTTACAATTCTGGGCGGTAACGGTTAATTTGGGGGTTATGCCACCTGACCTATGTTACCATTACCCAGAAGGGAAAAAGTAACTTTTCGTATTCTTAGGTAACATATATGTAATATGTATATATAGAGATTAGACAGTACACACATATATACAATTTCAACCCTCTGCGGTATATGTATAGATACATATAAAGCAGTAATCTCTATTTTGTTCGTTTGTTATTTGTTATCCGATCATAACTCATGAAACCCTTTGCCGATTGTCCCAAATTTTGATTAGGGAACTCGGGAGAACCACGAAATATTCATAACGTGGATTTGAGATTCTAAGTTGAGTGAGTTAACTTTTATAAGGAATTATTATAGCTAAAATTGAAATTTACTACCAAGCGCGAGTAAGCAGCGGGAGTAACTATGAGTACCCTATGGGCAATGGTGGGTTTTCAAGCTAATTTACATGTACAGTAATAAACATTTATTTTTTGTCTGTTTGTGTGTTTTTTGTGTGTCGAACATTAACTCGGGAACCCCTGGACCGATTTGGCTCAAATTTTGATTGGAGAAAACGGGAATATTTTTAGCTTGGTTTAAAAATTCCAAGTTTCGAGTGGCTTTAAAGCTAGTGTATTTTTAAAGGGTGGGGGGGGGGAAGGGAGCTCTAGCTTATATTCATGAGCCCTAGAATTTGACTAAAATCAATTGGACCAAAATTGTATTTTTTCTTCTAAAAATCTATGTTTTTCCCGAAATAAATTTGTTATTTGTCCATATTTGTTCATTAAATATTCATTTTTAAAATAAGTTTGCTAGAACAACATTAGAAGGGGTAATATAATATCTAAGAGGGTTAATTTATTATTATTTATTTAGAAATTTGGCTTATTTGTCTCTCAGTTTGTTTGAGTGTGTGTAATTGTTTAAATTCGACAAACGTAAAAACGGCCTAAACACAAAGCACCCCCATAAACCTAGTTTTTCAATTCTTATAACTATATTTTCTACCTATGAGAAACCAGGTCATTTTCAAGACCCCTCTCATTGTGGATCTAAAAAAGAATAATAATAATCTATCTAATGAGACTTTAGACGAAATTTAATGTCACCCTTTATTACAATGGAACCCTTGTAACCTATATCTGAATTACAATGGTACCCTTGAAACCTATATCTGATTTACAATGGTACCCTTGAAACCTATATCTGATTTACAATGGTGCCCTTGAAACCTATATCTGATTTACTATGCTGCCCTTGAATCCTATATCTGATTTACAATGGTACCCTTGAAACCTATATCTGATTTACAATGGTACCCTTGAAACATATATCTGATTTACAATGGTACCCTTGAAACAT